ATCTCCTGCCCTTGAACCTGGAGAAACTTCCCAACTGCCTGAGCCAAAAGAAAACAGTAGAAATGATGCTTACAAATATGCCACATACTTCTATCTTGTTCTCTTGAGATCTGCTCTTGCAACTCAACTGCCATGCTATGAGGAAAACCAAATTAGCCCAACAGAGCTATTCATGGAAAAGCCATATGTGGGTGATCCAATCAATAGCCCTGGTCGGGCTGGGGATGTGGCTCAAGCGGTAGCGTGTTCGCCTGACATGCGTGCGGCCCGGGTTCGATCCTCAGCACCACATACAAACAAAGATGTTGTGTCCGCCGAGAACTAAAAAACAATAAAAAAAAAAAATTAAAAAAAACAAAACAAAACAAAACAAAACAAAACTCCTCACAAGGCTTGCTTCAACCTTGCAGGTCAGATTGTAGCCCAAACCTGTCAGCAACTCCACTGTATCAGTCTCTCCTAGGCTGCCCAGCCTGAGATGTTTTCAACTCTTTCTCAGGCTCACTTATCAATCTTTAATCTCAACTCACATCTATAAACTCTGTCTCAGAAAGACATTCCCTAGCTGGGCGCTATGGCAGATCCCTGTAATCCCAGGAGCTGGGAGGCAGAAGCAGGAGGATCATGAGTTCAAAGCCAGCCTCATGAATTTAGCAAGGCCCTAAGCAATTCAGTGAAACCCTGTCTCTAAATAAAATATAAAAAAGGACTGGGGAGGTGACTCAGTGGTTAAGTGCCCCAGGGTTCAATTCCCAGTACCAAAAAAAAAGAAAAACACTCCCTGTGCCCCAATCAATCCCTGCCATGCTCTCAGAGCATGCTTATTTGTGCCTTCTAACACTTAGTATAGCCTTGAATTCTACAGTCAACCTCCTAAAAGTACTGAGCAATCTCGCCTTCACTACTTGTCCCCAGTCAGTGCAGGCCCTGGCACAGAACTGAATGAATGAATTTTTCATAACTGCTGCCCTAAACTAATCCTCCACTTAGGTTCTAAGCAGAACAAGAAAATGGTCTCCAGTGCACTTCAGCATTCCCATCACACTGTACGGATCACCAGAGCCCCTTCCAGATAAGGACTTACAGCTCCTCCTCCTTCCCCACTTTGAGCTGGGGGTCTTCTCACTTTTTTTTTTCCCCCAAGAAAGCCAAGAAGAAGGCCATGAATGGAATCCTGTCTCTTAGCTAATTCCTCTAATAAAGGAAACAGGACAGCAACCCCACATTCTCAACATTCTCCATAACTTAAAAACAATTTATTTACTCTCATCCTTGTACATTTAATGCAAGGATCATGGATGAACACCAGCTGGAAAAACCATAATTGTTTAACTGCTTAAACGACATGCAAGGTGTGTGATGCAGTAGACAGTTGATGGCAGAGTAGAAAGAACCAGGTTTCAAAGAACCAGGTAGAAAATCAGCACTACAATTTATTAGTGCTTCCGTTTACCATCTGCAGGATCCTTGGCCTCAATTTCTATGTCTGGCAAATGGAGAGAGTGACAATGAACTTCAATTCCCATAAAGGGAAGTTCTGAACAGCTGTAAAATCCCCCATTGTCCTGGTGAAATTTTTCTCTTGGCTTTAGAAAGGTCTTGGTCCTGAAGGAAGGCTGAGGTCCCCTGGGGGAGTCTGCTCTGGCCTCTAGAAGTTGGGTAAGTAATCACAAGGGAGAGATGAGTCCAAGTGGTGAGAATATTTTACACTAGGACACAGTGACCTTGGGTTCTAGTCTGGGCTCCCAGCTCTGCAGCTCCAGTCCAGCCCCAGGCGAGAGAGGCCTTTCATTGGTTTCTCTGACAACAGCTAAGTGCCGACCTATGGTGGCGCAGGAAGAAATAGCCTCACCATCTTCGTGGGAAGGCCGAACACTAGCAAGACACACCTTACAGGGATTTCAGACTCAAGCCCTGCTCTTATCCTGGCATCAAAGCCACCCCCTACCCCTGGCTCCCCGGAGACTACAATCTCCTCTGTTCCTGGGCGGAGCTGGGCCTACAGAGAAGGTTCGCTCCTTCCTTACCAGGAGTCAGGCCTAATGGCAGGGGCTTTTCTTTTCACAGGCTTGGGGCTGACCCCCCCGCTCCAGGTCGTCGGGTCGGACGGGGGCCCCTTGCTTGGGCCCCCTACCGCGCGCGCT